ATTCTTAAAGGGCAAAATGATAATTTTTCCTTTTTCATGTAAACTAAAATCAAATAATTAAATCAAAAATCAAAACCCATGTCATCTTCTCAGACCACCCCCAACCGAACCCAACCCACCGCACCCCCAACCCAACCCAAACCAAAATCAAACTGTCGGCACCACCACATCGGCACACCCCACCTCCTCCCTCCACCACCACACCGGCACAGGTATTGGGGACGACGGACAAAGTACTAGAAGGGGTTTTTATCAATGGATACGTCTTGTTTCACCTCTAAAAATTTCTCGTGAAGACTACCTTCCTAGGTTGGTTGGAAATGCAGCGTAAGTTGCTGCCAGAATTGTTCGCCCCCTGAAAATTGGAATAAATTGGCTTGTCCAATTTTCTAACTCGCCACCATTGATTCTCTTCTCCAACCAAGAGATAAAATTAACTAAACCATTCTCCAATTCATCCTCCGCCACACCGCCACCAGTGTCAGCGCCAGCTCTAGTGCTTTCCGAGGCCGAATTTAACTCGTGAAAATCGTTTTTAATAAAAATTCAACCCGTACTTTTTCAACTCCTCTGAGCTTTGACCACTTCCTCTCATACTTTTACCCTTCCTCCTTTCCTTCTTGCTCTTATCTTTCTTGTTTTGCATCAACAGACTTCTTCGAAAGCATCTATTACCTCGTGTGGGGAATTAATTCACGTCGCCTCTCACATAAGAGGTAGTGATTTTTAGTGTTTGGATGAAATTGAGTTCGGGTGGGAGTGGTGACGTGAATTAATTTAGGAAAATTTGCAATTGAGGTTGTGGTGGTGGGAGGAGGTGACGGCGGTTGTCGTGGTGGGAGGAGGTGGGTGTGCCGGTGCCGACAGTTTGATTTTGGGTGGGGGGTTGGGATGGGGGTGGTTGGAGAAGATGACATGTGTTTTGATTTTTGATTTAATCATTTGATTTAGTTTTTTTTATATGAAAAAAGGGGAAATTGCCATTTTGCCCTTTAAGAATTAGTCAACAATTGGTCAGATTTTTAATTTTTGATCAATTGATGGTCAAACTAACAGTTTATGTCAATTTGAATTTCGGGTGTGAATTGTTTAAAAGTTTGGTACCGTGAGTGGCACAAATCAAATGTTTGGACAAAGTCTGCAAAAATGTGAAAGGTTTGATACCGTGGCTGCAATTTTCCCTTAAAATAATACATACTAAACATCTAAAATTATAAAAACTATATTTGATTAATAATTTCTACAATTATTCAATCATACAATTTTCAAGTTTTCGAAATGAAAAATTTAGATTATTCTTCATAGTTTCAACTTTCAACTAGAAAACTCCTACTTGAAATTTTGTAACATGTTTTCATTTATTACTTTGTTACAGATAAAGTCATTTAAAAATTTGAAAATAAAGTCAAATAAAAAACATTTAAAAAAAGAAAAAAAATTAATAAAGCGCCACTAGGCGCTCATTGCCAAGGTGTAACGTTTCTCCAGAGCCTAGGTTTTTTAGATCACTGTATTTTGAGAATTATTCATGTTTATGGTGTTCGCATGTCTAGTTAAAAGAGAATTTATGTTATCACTTGATATTTATGTTCTTTTTCACAACTATAAATTTTATACATGTTTTTTTTGTAGATTATGTAATTAGAGATAAATACTTTATCAGTATATGATTACACAAGAAAGCATGAAAGGAGAGGAGGCCTGACTCGAATGAGCGAGGCTAGCATAGGCAAATGAGAAGAATGTTGGGGTTGGTGGGGAATTAAGAATAGAATCGAGATAAAACGATGCTTAAAAAATGGACCAAATGGCATATGTGATAGCGATATAAGATTGGGACTAAATAGCATAATTTTGAAAAACTTGTCAGAAAGTGGGCTACAATTGATTCCTACCAAACAAACAAATATTTTTGCCAGTTCTTGTACACAAAGCAAATCTTTTTTGGTCCATCCCTTTACTTTACAACTCTTAATCGAATCAAATTATTTTATTACATTAATTTAATCGAACTTAGTATATAATATAGAAGCACGTAGTATAATTCACGTGGCTACTGCAACTCTACCTCCCTGTCGCTATATCAATAGTTTATCAAATAAAGCACGTGTAGAATACAAATTTTCTTTGAAGGTCACACACTACAGTACTCTAGAGTGACTTTAAATGTCCACCTTTCCTCCTGAATCCTCCATCACAACCCTCATCTCTCTCTCTCGTACAAGACAAACTCACAGAGAGTTGAAAATGCTGTCTGTTGAGCCTAATTCAGGTTTGAGAATCCTTATACAACTCAAAAAGGGTGAATCCAATGTTGTGTTCAAGTGTGCTTCAAAACTGGTAAACCCCAGTTTTTATCTGAATCAGAAACAGAATCCCTCGATTCATTCTTGCTTTCTGAAGTTGTGTCTCCTTTGTAACAAGCACCTGAGTCTTGATAAAGAGGTGTACATGTATATGGGCGATCAGGGTTTTTGCAGTGTGGAATGCAGGAGTAGGCAAATATATATAGATGAAATGAAAGAAATAGAAATTTCTACAAAGAAAGTGTTAGCATCGTTGAGGCAGCGCGGGAGCAGTGGCCGGTGTGAGGCTAGTAGCGTGTTAGAGGAATCCCACCAGCGGCGCTACCCATTTTCAACTCGAGAAAGTCGAGTTGTTTTCTCCTAGTCGATCAGATTTTAAAAAGTGCTTTCCTGTTGTATTTTCATCAGTTTGATCAATATATAATGTAGTTCAGGATTTCAGATAATTTTCAATATAGAAAATGTTGTTGAAATAGAAGGATTACTCCAAAACATTTGTCGTCGTCGTCGTCATTTTATCTTTATTTACTCCTAAATCGGAATGCATCTGTGAAACTGTACTTGTGGATGTAAAAATGTCAAATATCATTTTGCAAGTCTTTCCATTAATTTGGAATTTTATTGTGAATAAATAAATATTTAATTGTAATGATTTGTTACACTTAACAGTTGATGTCTACTATTGCAAATATAAGTTTAAATTCTAAGAATATGATATTGGAATGCATATATTCAACATCCAATTTGGTAGCTTCGAAATCTTTTTAATTTCAAATTCAAGCAATAGAATGACAAATGACGGAGGGTTTTGCCACCAGTTTATTCAAAAGCCGTGGAACTGATGCAGTCCATTTTATATCACAATAATCAAGTTCGGAAATTCACCCCAATCCCACTCCTTTGGACTCATCTCAATTTTAAGCATGCCCCTACATTAACAAGTCAATCGATTTTTTATCTAACGAAACTTTTGTAAGACAACCGCTACATGCAATTTCAGAGCAAAAGGGGACGACATGAGAATCCGCAATATTCACTTGACTCGCTGTACTAATTGTGGATAATTGTCTGTCTTGTCTCATCTAACTAGCTTTCGAATTAGACTAATTACTGGCTGTCCTACCTTTGATACAAATATAACTATCTTGACACCGAGAAAGATCAAGTAAGACTCGTAGCTTGGAGGAAAGAAAGATATTTTAGTCAAGCTGACGCTTCCGTGCTACTAACACTGGCTTGCATATGAGGAAAGATAGAGAAAGGATATCAGTTCATCAACTGGGCTGCTTCAATCGAGTCACTGGGTAGCTTCTCCCAAACTAACAGAAGTAAACGAATGAAGTACGAATTAAGTCCAAACAACAGGAGTCGACCTTTGTGGTCTTTGATAAAGAATGAATGGGCAAGCAAGGAACTGATTGACCTCTAATATAATAAAGAGTCTGACTCGCACCCAGAAATCGTAGTAACTGTAAGCTGGGAAAAAGACATTCATATTCACCCAGACACGGGATAAAGGGCTTTTGCGCTAGTGTTTAGCAATTCGGCTAGCATTGAACTAGCTGCTACCATTGAATTTGAGATTGCTGCTATCGTAGATAAGAGAAAGGCAGCTTAAAGGAAAGTAGTTGTAAGAGAAAAATCTCCTAACCAGCATTTTACTTGATTTGATTATCGTCGTTGGGCGAAAGGCATTGGGAAAAGGAGCATTGGAATGGTCTTAACTCATGAATATTCAGATGAATAAAAAAGAAGGAAAATATACCATCGAAATAGTTTGAATTCAATGGAAATTCCCTTACTTGACCGAACAGGAAGAATTTCAACTACATCGAATGATCCTTCAAATTCGTCAAGACTATCCAGTTTATGGCCTCCTCTCTATGATACCACTTGTTACTTCATTTAATTTGCTTCATTAATCATTAATTAATATTGGCTCAATGTTCAACTTTGATCGTTATGGACTGGTACCAAGATCGAGTCCTAGCAAATCGACCTAATCTTAATAGCCTACCATAACAGAAATAGATAGGCACAATAAAGCTCTTTCTTTAGTGATAAACTATGAACTAATGTCTGAACAAAAATACTTCATTGCTATGGAGACCTTTATTATGTAGAGGAGGGATGTTTGTTCAGTACCGATTCTTATCTGGGGAGTCGATAAGAAAGTTCCTGTGGATGTCTATTATCCGAGCTGCCCACCTAAACTAGAGGAAGTTCTAAATGCTAGGAAACTTCTTAAGAAGGTATCTCAAGAAATCTATGAAGAATGTCCTAACAAGAAGTTCGATGTCTTACTATCCATAAAAACTATCATGTTGGGGGCAGTACTCGTAATGGAAATTACGATCAAGTATGACTATCAATTGCCATCTACTTAAAAGATACCTTCTGAAGCATTATTCAAATACCAGAGTTCATTTTCTTCTCACCAATTAGTGAATCAGGTAAGATGTTTTTGTGCAGAATAACAAACAAGTCAATCTTCATAAATTTCATCGTAATAAGCATAAAACAAATGTGAGAAGGAATAAAAACATCTGCCTAGCCATTAGCTAGTTCATAGATCTTTGGGCTTCGATTACAATGGAAGATTGACTAGAAATCCCGAGAATAGGTACTCCATTGCACTCATTTAATATTTATATGGTTACAATTATCTTTGTTCCCAGTGTGCCTATGATGTAGCACTGAGCGGATTATTAGCCAATGTGTATCATCTTACAAGAATGCAGTATGGTGTGGATCAACTGGAATAGGCATGCAAATAAGGGTGCGTTTGGGCGGAATTAAAATCGCTTTTTGTACCGTTGCTACAGTGAAAAGCCCACAATTTTTGACTTTGTTGAGTCACAGGGGGCCCCACCATTTGAAAATAAACGGTCAAAAAACCACAATTCTGCTGATTTTCAATGCTCCCAGACAGGCCCTAAGTCTTTAACAAAAGGAGGAATCAAATTCTAGACTTCCGTCTATTTTCTGGATTTTGAAAAGTGCATATTTTAAAGAACGGGAATATGTTTCATCCTCGCTTGAAACCTAATCAAGTCAGCTCTAATGGACGTGACTAATGAGTTAAGCACTCGAATGTTACGAGATTGCAATTTTGGCCCCTAAGAGCATCTCCAATGCATTATATGGATAACAATTTAGGTGGTGCGAAATTAAAAGACTTCGAATTTATGTGGCATTAATGTCTAATAAATAAACATTCAAGTCTATAATTAGTTTCAAATGCATTCTATAAATTGCCATTTAGGTGTCTTTTATTTTATAAAAAAAAACAAAATTAATCACATCAAAATCTGAAAATGAAATATTAATTTTGTTGAGTTACTTATTCTAACAGGTCTGCTAAATCTACACAAAGTCGTAGACAGTACCTATTTTTCTCTGTAACATCAACAGGATCTCTGTTTAGCATGCAATATATAGGAGTTTTTTGAAAATCTTCTATGTTTACTCGTGTGATAAATTTTTTTAAAAAACTATATTCAATTTCTACGGTATGCTCCATTTTTGGACTCTCTATTAAGACAGCCAATTCAATCATTCAATGATCTTGCTAAAACTACTATAGGCTGATCAGAGAGAGACAAGAATGATGTGGAGCTTCACCCATAGTGGTCTCTTATGGTTCAAGCCTTTAGTGAGAAGAAGATGGTTATAGGCCAATTGAACGATAGTGGTAGTTTTATCCACAATGACCGGGTGACTCTCTTTGCCCTTTCGATCTCCTAAANAGTGAGAAGAAGATGGTTATAGGCCAATTGAACGAGAGTGGTCGGTTTATTCAAAATGATTAGGTGGCTCGCTTTGCCCTTTTGATCTCCTAAACTGCCCCAAGAGCTCCTGAGACTGACATGAACCTCACTCCATTTTTAGGCTTAGTTGATATTATTAGAGTCTCACATTGGCCGATGATATTTACACGTTCCACTTAATAAGGTGAGGACAATCCTTCCCTAACAAGTTGATTTTGTTAGGTTGAGTTAGACTCAATATCATTTCTAATAGATATAAGGTTAGATCTTCTCTACTCAAAAGACGACATTAGCTTCATTATGGTTATTCTCAAGCAGCAATCCAATTTAAACGTAATGAATCAATCTTATTATTATTATTATTATTTTGGTTAGATATATTAGGATAAGCTCATTCTGTAAATATCTTGTAACAATGTATAGCTATCTGTTTGTATATTAGGGGTGTTTGGGAGAGATTCTCAAATTTAACAGTAAATCAATTCTCATTTTCAACCACACATTTTTCAATAAAATAATATTTTCTATCACATCAATAAATTTTTCTTTTTTTTCAACCACACATTTCCCATCATATCCCTATTCAAAAATCAATTCTTCCCCCAAAAATTCCTCCCAAACAAGCTCTTAGTATGTTCAACAGTTGATTTTTGATAGAACTCTGTTTATTCTATTCGAAGAATATATAGTGTCATAGTTCTTTTTCAAAACTCTCTATCTTGATGTAACGCCCCAAAAATTATTGAGTTAAATTTTGAGGTGTTACGATATTATTTCATAATGCAGAATTAATTAAGTAAAAATTTGAAATTTTAATTTATTTGAAGCATCAAACACTAATTTAAATAAACACATGATCTTGAAAT